TAGTAGCCAGCAAGATTTACAAGACAACTCCTTAGTGGTTGTTCAACTGCTACTTTGCATAACATATACTGGCCATGTCATTAAGGGCCTGATTTTTAACAATGCCAACAGGCACTCAGTGGGATTTTAGGCCTCTTACTATCACTGAATTCAATGATAGTTAGGTGCTTAACCTGCTAGGATAGTTTCTGACTAGGGATGCTATTGTATAATAATGTCTAGGGTCTCAAAGTTCGCATTTTCAGGGTTTGAGGAGAGAAAACATGCTTTCTAGGGGAAAAAATAAAACCAGAATGTTGCTCTGATTTGCCTCTTATCTTATACTTGAACACTATCTACCCATCTGCAGTATGTACTTAGTCCCTATTATCATCATAACTGGGTGCCCTACAATCTTTAATGTATTTGTCCTCAATACTCCTGAGAGATAGGGGAATAGCTTTTTACAGATAGCAAACTGAAGCATTGAAAGGCAAAGGCCCAGATTTTTAAATGGGATTTAGGACCCTAAGAGCACGTCTACACTTGGAGAGTTATTTCAAAATAATGAGGTGAGCATCCACACTACGAAGCCTGTTATTTCAAAATAATGGGCTTGTTATTTTGAAATAACTCCTGCTTGTGAAGTTATTTTGGGAATTAGTATTTTGAAATAATGTAGTAGTGTAGACATAGCCTTAGTTATTAGGTTTCACAATGGTGAGAGCAGCAATGCCTACATTTCTTGAAAACTGGATGTTCAACTTCTTTATTACTCTTTAAAGAAGAAATTTTCTATAACAATTATGTTGAAATTGCAGTGAGGTTAGTTTAGTGTTTCCATTGGGTAGGCAGTGAGCCTGGAGAGCAGTTTGCAGTTTCACCCCCAGCCCATTCCTTCCCCTTGTGAGGAATCAGAGACCGTCTTTTCTGGCTTCTTGGCTGGGGCCACAGAAGGGAGTTGGTGCTGGCTCATCTATTGTGCCAAGGAGTAGTGTGCCCAGATACTGCAATGCTTGATGCGGAGTTGGACTTCTGTTCCAAAGCCAGAGTGAGCTCTAGACTGCATACAAGGTGAGCTTTACATCAGATAGTGTGCTCCTTCTTAGTCCTAAGTTTGAAGACCTTGCAGCTGCAACACTTATGTGCCTTCTGCCCAGGCACTTTACTATGGGGATCACTGATGGGCACAGGCCATTTTCTCTAATCTTTTCCACCCATGTGTAGATTTTTCCCCTGTCCATATATGAAATACATTTTTACATGGACTGAGGTCTGTGTAAATGCACACCACCAGTAGCAACAGAAACCTAGCTGTGGGCCCTCTGCCAATCAACTGAACGGCATTTTAATCTCTCCTGAGTGTCTGCAAAAGCATATAGCTTACAGGGAACACTAGGGATATGCTGTTTGCAGTTATTGTAGGGCTTAAAGCCTAAGGACTAGGGCACGCCCCATTCCCCTGCTAAGTCCTGCTCGGGACTAATGAAATTCTAAACTATTGCTAACTCAAATACTATCTACACTAAATTTATAGATTCTACTAATTCACATGAATAAAGACTAAGCAAAGCTACTAAGTGCAATAAACGTTCCATGCATCGTCACTGGTAGCAAGAAGGAACTGAGGATAGGGGAAGCCAGCAGTGCCCCTTATACTACACTGTGTGGGAGCCATTCTATAGGGTGCCAGAGCAGGTCCCCTATGGATATTGTTGAAAAAACTTCCCACACCAGTGCAGGTGGCGAGCACACATACCTCATGTGGAATGGACAGAAGCACGCAAAGAAAAACTTCAAATTTGTGAGATATGTAAGGCAACACAAATCAAGGATGGGGGTGAGATCTGCTTTGGCCTTGGGAATAGGAAATCTCAGGAATAAACTCCCTTTTCCTTCATATCTTGCAGAACTTAGTCCACAGCTCCTACCTGTACAAGAGTTTCTACCTCTTGGAAGAGAAGTTACTCATGGGACGGGTGTTTTGATGAGAGACAGGGAAGGGGTGGGAGGGAGAGTGGAGGAAAATTGCAGGGTGTGACCAGTTGTAAAGGTGTTGAGCATACAATGGTCTGAGGTAACCATGTGCAGCGCAGAAAGGAAACATAGTTTAGGAACAAATTGGGGCAGGGGGGTTGCACTTAAACTTGGGTGTACTCCTAAAACGACTGCCATTCATCACCTGGGTGTTATGCAAGGCCCAACTGGGCAGCTGAGGATGAGGTGATCAAGGCTGAGGAAGCTATCCAGCTACTGAGGACTGCTAGCACACCACCAGGGGAGGAAGATATGGCTCTGTTAGAGGAAGGACACTGGCAGCTGGTCACTTCTGGCA